AAGACCAAATGGTAAAAAATATTTGTGTGTTTCTTTATATCGATTCCACATACTCTGTGGTAAATGGGGGGGCTGTCACTTCTTACCTATACGTGTAAATGTTCTCACTTCGAGAACTTCTCGTTTTATAATAGCCTTCTAGAAGTCTTTGCCATCCCAATGAAAATGCTTAATTTATGCCTACGTTTATGAAATGTGATTAAAGCATTAGATTACTATCATGTAATTAATGCAATGAAATAACTAAGGAAGTGGGAAAATTTTGAAGAAAAAAAATAAGACAAAACATAGTTTGAGGGTGGTCTAAAAAGTCTCCGACCTGAAACATAACACTTTTTAATTTTTTTTTATTCTTCAATATATTATGTCTCCTTTCAACTTTCAACACCACATTTCTCCCAGCGATGCTCCCATTTCTGTAAATCGTACAAATAGTACTCGACATAGGGTGAGGGGAACTAAAACTCCCCAAAAGCCTTTACAAAACATGTCACCGTGGACCAGCCCCTACCCAAGCTAAGGTGTAAGGAATCGTGCCGACAGCTGAATGGCCGCAGGGTGATATGCGGTTACGAATGATCTCCTTGGAGAACGGCGAAACCTCATTGTAACTAACCAACCTCTGGTAATGCGGGGCTCTGCCAGAGGTGACCAACTCTTCCCTTGCTACTCATGGGAACACACATGAATGAAACAAACACAAAAACGGAGACAACAAAAACCATTCTCGAGGTTGGACAAAAGAGCTCACCTCAACCTAAGACGGTGGCTGGGGATGAACAGAAATGTCCAGCCAATCTATGCTTGAAGTTAGGCTGGACATAGCAGATCACCTCGTGACGTAATACAAAGCCTAAGGCGTAAGCGCATTTGCGGCGCCGAGACCAAAAGGAGAAAGGAAGCAGGAGTGGCAGCAACTATAAGTGCACCCTCCTCCTCCCCCACTTCACCTCCAACAGCAAGGGCACTTCCTGCGGCGGGCGTCAAGAGCTACGCCTTGAATAAAGGCAAGGAACCTGCTGCCCCTGCAGGAAAGCTCCCTCACTTGTGCACCTCCACGGAGGGAACCCCAAGAAGGTTGAAGAAGCCGTGCAACGACAGTAATATCGCTGCACCTTCCAAAACCTTCGCGGAGGCCACCGTGAGACACCTCAAGGCTGCCAAAGTGAGTGTGCGTTCGGCGAGTCTTGGCCTACACCTGCCAATATAAAGGAGATGTCTCCCAGCGACCTGTCCACCTTCCTGGAAATGACAGGATGGACGATGACCTAGGAGGACAACTCCTCGGGAGGATGTACAATGGGTCACATGTGACTCAAGTGTTGTGGGTCTACATTCACCCCCCCTACTCTACAGATAGTACTCGACGTTTTTCTCTTCAAAATAATTGTTCACGAAGATGATTGCCTCCCAAGCTCTTGCGGCCACGTTTAAATTCAGTTGCTAAAATTTCACTGTGGTATATAATGGTACAGAGTCCCCATACATAGAATCCTACTCATCTTTGATTTGTTTAGGCATATTTCCCTTCAAAAACAAGTGTTTAATGACAGCTAGATACTCGATTTATGGTTTCATAAAAACATTCACATCAACTCACTCAAACGGCCGTTACATAACAAGCGCGCGTCCAAAATGGCTGAAACTTTGGTGATTAACAGTCAACAGATGAACAACGAAATTCACTAGCTTTCATTCACGACTGTTGCTATTTTCATGTTGAGGTCGGAAACTTTTCAGAACACCCTCGTACATTAATAAATGCTCTTTACAAAAATGTGTGGCTCATGCACATAATCTCATTGAGATGCGATAGGAAAAATATCCATCCAAAACAATTATGTACTATGAATTCTGAATATTGAACTACGGGAAAACACTTCTATCCATTTAGTTTTTACTTCAAACATTAACTTCTAGTAGTTTCGGGTAGTTTAGTTAGTCTCAAAATCCTCATCAGAATCTCTTTGGAGACTTGTATTCACTCAAATCTAGCAAAACCTTCAAAACTTTATGACAATTTTGAAAAACATTCGTACAACTAGTATGCACCCCTCCGAGGGGGTGCGTACTACAAAAAAATCTGATTAGTCTGAAAGGTGTTCCCCTTTAATAAGAAATCGACGTGCCCGAGCTTTTTTTAAAAATCTTACTTTTTATATTCGAAAACGGCTCTGTTAAGTTTTCGTTGTTACACACTGCACATCTGTTAAAAATAAATATCATTATTATCATAATTTTGATATCTAAGGTACTAGAATCAGCCTGACTATCACTGGTATATATCTTTGCATTATAAAAGTTTATATTCATTAAATACAATCTGTATTCAAAATGGAAAAAATTACGAAATATTCACAGGTAAGACACAATGGAATGGATTCACATTCAACACATTGAAATGGTCATGTTAACAACGCTATTTTGAAATATAATCTTACCTCTTGGGTCAACTCTACCACAGTAACGGATCCGTTCGTAACGGAATTAGCATTTGAATCGTTTTCAGAAGTGTACCATTGCGCAGAACATTTTTCTACGGAGGGAGAAAGTATACTATCAGCTTTGCTAGATCGCCGCTTCTCCTTAGGGGTCTTTTGGGATTTTCTGGAGCCCAACGAAGGCGTTCCTAACTGACTCTTTGAGGGAGAGTGGCTCATGCTTTTCGAATGACTGTGATGGAAGGATTTGCTGTAATATAGAAATTGATAAGTTTACAAAAATATTGGTGCGGTGATGGTCTCTACACAGAAATTTGTACACTACTAACTGTCTTTCTATGATAACCTATATTCTTTATCAAGACTCATTTTTTGGTTTCAGAACTTTATCTCTTGTAATACATATTTTGGTTATTCATTATACCTAGTAGCAAGCTATCTACAAACTAAATTTTTTGAAAAACCATGCAAACAAGTCATAATTTACAGTTCTAAAATTTTCACAACTCTTTCTTTTTTCATTGCATCCACATTTTGACCAGTGACGGCTCGTGCATTGGAGAACAGGGGAGGCTAAAGTCATAAAGACTATATACACACAGAAAAGCCCAACGGAGGTGCGAAAATTTTTTATGTTGCTGCACGCTTTGCTTAATACTAAAGTTAGGGCATGGGCATGACAATGTGTAAAAAGTGCATGAGGAGCTATGGACTTTATTTTAGTTTGTAAACCATTTAAATGGCCGGCCATGACCGCAGCCCCATCATAGGTTTGCGCAATTAACTTTTGTCTAAAATTATAGGTGTCACACGTACGAATTAAAAAATTAAACAAATCGTCAGCTGTGCGCCCAGATGAAACATCATGAAAACCCATAAAACGTTCTACCACTTTACCATCTTTGACATAATATCTAAAAACGATTGAAAGTTGTAATGTACAGGTAATATC